AAAAAAAAAAAAAAAAGTATACAAGACATAAGAAATAGAAAATTATTTGCTGATAGCATATACGTTGTACAGTGTATTTTGGATGGAAAATTCACTTGTATACTATAATGATGTATAGTGAATTAATGTAAAAAATAAATAAATTTAAAGAGAAAAAAACCCATGAGTCTATAACTGAGGCAAATGTAGACAAATAAATAATAGCAACTAACCCTGTAGCTCATATTATTCTTCCCTAAATAAACTGTCCTTGAAACTATTTTCGTATTAACATAATTTTCTATTTTTGTGTCACTAAGATCTATGTTTAGTGTCATATAAATCACCTTAGCATAGGTGGCATCCGACATGACACTTTATGAGGCTACGACATAACTGCTATTACTTGAACTTCAGTTCCAAAGTTATTCTGTGTATTTACTGCAGTAAAACCAAAGAGGGCCTGTCCACTGCTCACTCCTAAAATAGTCAGTCGTGGGCCAGCAGATGGCGTGGTGGTTAAGGAGCTGGACTCCCACATGGCCAAGGGAGCCAGAGCCTAGCAGCTTGCTTTCTCACTTTCTCTCTCTCTGGTCAAATTTAAATAATAAATAAAAAAATGAATAAATAAAATCATTCTTTCTAAAAAATTCAATCACAAAAAGTTCACCCTCTTTCTGCTTTACTAGTTTTTAAAAAGTGTATGGAGGAACCAGTAGTTAGCGTAATGGCTATGTTGCTGGATTCCCACATAGTCGACCGGAGTTCGCGTCCCGGACCCGGTGGCTTAAAACTCAGGCCGGGCGCGTGTGCGTGCGTGCCCAAGATCCCGAGAGGAGAAGGGATTGCGGCGTGACCATCCCCCCTGGGGGGTGATTTCTCACTTTCTGTCTCTATATCTCTCTCTGTCTGGCGAGCGCACACGTCCTATAGAAAAAAACCTCTAAAAAAAAAAGTGTATGGGAAAAACCACCAAATCATCAGTATTTTAAAGGAATTATTTAGCTAAATGATGGAGTCTAAAATAAATCTGCTCATAAGTAACAGAGCACAAATGCACTCTTGCAGCTCTCACCTAACAATCAAACCAGCTGGATGAACTGAACATACCTCATGACTTTTGAAAAAACTCATCAGAACCCTGAAGATGAAGAGATCCTCATGAACTTAATCACAAAAAGAAAAGAAAAGAAAAGAAAAGAAAAGAAAAGAAAAGAAAAGAAAAGAAAAGAAGAAAAAAGAAAAGAAAAGAAAAGAAGAAAAGACTAACAGCTGAGTGGCAGGAGGAGGAAGTAACCTCACAGAGGAGGCTAAGGGATGCAAGAGTAGAGAAATCTTCAGAGGAAACAGAAAGGCAGATCCAGGACTGGAGAGCAGAGGAGGCTCCCAGGGATGCAGAAATGCTGCTGAGTGGAGTGGAAAGCAACAGAAACCTCCCACGGTTCCAAAAGCTGGTGGCACAGCTGTGCTTAGAACCCTGTTAAAGAGAAAGTCTGTGTCACTCCCTCACCAGAGGTGCAGGCAGTGAGTGGTGAAGTGAATTTAACCGAAGTTGCAACAAAGCTTTAACCCGGCTCAATGACAGATTCCACTGACAAAGGCCCCCAAACAAGCAGCCTGACAGAAGAAGGGGTGGCAGGACTATTTCTAGAGATAAATATTCTTTAGCTCAGCATCTCCAGTTCCTTTTTAAACAAACTGCCCTGTATATAATAAAAAATTACAAGACACATAGAAAACATGAGCCATGTTTAAGAGAGAAAAGACACAATAGAAGAAGATGACCCAGATGCTGGGTTCACCAGGAGGCCCTTACGGTAAGTACAGTAAGTGTGCTAACTGCTCTCGAGGAAAAGCTAGACGACATATGTGAAGAGATGGGATTTCAACAGAAAAAAAAATTGTTTGAAAACTATGATAAAGAACCAAAGGAAATGTAGATATGAATATCTGGGCATCAGAAATGAAAAATTAATTAAACAAGCTTAACAGACTAGACAAAGGAGACCGGAATTAGGTTAATAAAGAGTGTCCTGGGTCGGCCGATGGCATGGATTAACGTGGCTGGATTTCACGGCCGATCATGCAGTTTGAGTCCCGGACCTGGCAGCTTGAAAACTACACCAGGAGCATATGCACGCCTAAAAGCTCAAAAGGAGGGGACATGAAGTTAAAGGGATTGTGGTGTGACCATTCCCATGAGGGTTGGCTTCTCCCTTTCTCTCTCTCTCTCTTTCTCTTTCTTCAGTGACTGCATGGGCAATTTAAGAAGAAAGAAAAAGTATCTTAACTGAAACAAAACAGAAGAAACAGAAAGGAAAACAAAGTGCCTGAGATCTGAAGAAATATATAAAGCACTAACATAAGTATAATTTGCGTTATACAAGAAAGGACAATCAACCACAACGAAGACTAAGTGCAGGAGACTGAACTGGTGAAATAGCACTTTATGACTTTTGACTAAAACATTGCTGATTTTCTTCTAGGCTTTGTTTTCTGGTTTTAAGGATTTTTGTCCTGTCTTGAGCTGCTGATAGGTTCATGTACCTACTATTTGAACAGAATCCCAACCTGTTTCCTGGCTTTCAGTTTTAAGCAAAGTTCCTGAGCATGTTTTTTGATTTATTAAAGCTAGAACTACTTTTCTTGAAATTAAAAAAATATATTTAAAATACCTATTTAATAGGACCATAGTAAGCTATATAGCATCAACTAGGTGCTACCTTGTAGTATATTCATTCTACTCAGAGTTTCGCACGTAAAGTCAGACATGTACTCACAGATATGTATATACCAGCTGAACTTGTTATTGAAAGTAGTTAGATTATTTAAGAAATGTTGTGAATCAATAAAACGTGGGGGAAAAAAGGAATGGAAAACAACTGTAGACACCTGAGATAGTGTGGGAAGAGGGTGGGAGATGGCAGAGGGTGAGAAATAGGGGTTAAAAAAAAAAAAATATATATATATATATGGGGACCAGCAGTTAGCGTAATGGCTATATCGCTGGACTCCCACATAGTTGACCATGGTTCGAGTCCTGGACTCGGTGGCTTAAACTCACGCCAGGCACGTGTGCGCAAAAAAACCTCTCCAAAAAAAAAAAAAATATATATATATATATGTGTGTGTGTATATATATATATCTATATGAAACTAGAAATGGAAAGTTATTGACGATAACATGTATGATTAAGCCACTATGCAGTATATTCTAGATGAGAAATCATATTTTGTATGCTGTGACGATGCTCAGGGAATGAATGTAAATTAATTAATTAATTTTTGAAAAGTTTCAGAAAATTAATTAATTAATTAAAGAAAAAGGACAGAAAATATTGAATATTTTTCCAATATAAGAAGATAATAGCTGAGAACTGATGAAAGACATTAATTCAAAGACTCATGTTACTCTGAACTCTGTGTCACATCATAACAAATGTGTATTTGGTCTGACCCCAGCTCCTGGCACAGAGCTCCTGAAACGTTATAATTTCCCAAGTGATAGGTGTATCTTCTGTTGTAATATTTGGCTTTTGGCCACAGGTCCTGGCACAGAGCTCCTCATCCCTTGGAATTTCCTCGGCCACGGTAGGAGCACCTTTTGTCCCAG